AAGGAGGAACGAATACGACCGTACCTTCTACAATTAAAGTAAGTATAGTATACACACACATAATATATGTATATATATAGTATATATATATATATATATATATATATAAGTATATATTTTTAGTATTGACTCAATTAATTGTAGTGAACTTTGAAATGAGGTCCGATGTATGTGTACGTGTACGCATTGTCTCAATTAGTTCGATCTGACTCAGTTGTAAGGCTGGGCTGCTTGGTTTCCTTAATTACTTTCTGTACAATCTGTTTGAATTTATTTTGCTATATGCACAGTATCAAAAGTGTAAGGTGCGATATTTGCGACACACGATCGAGCTGTTTAATACATATCCATCGCTTTTGCGAATATGATAGCGGCCGTTTGGAAGAGTCGCCCATATCTCAAGGGTAACTGATAAGCCCAGTCGTACAACCTATGTCTCATTTAGTTATATCTATGTGTGTACATATACACAAATTGGAGTACGTATAAAGGACAAGCCATACAGGTAAACACCACAACTGGTTATATAGTCCTAAAACATAGTCTTGTAAGTCCTTGGTCAAGTATCTGAGGACAGCAAGAGACCAGTCCTCCCACCAAGAGTGTGTGCCAGCACCTACTCGTACAACACATCCAGCCGTTGAGCAGAGCCGCCATGAATAAAGGCCGAGTGCTTGTGTTGGGATGGGGATGTGTATTGGAAAAGTGCCACCGCATCTGAATTTATGCATCGCATGCATCAGACAGTTAGGGAGTCTGACCTCTACAGGCTACACCACACGCCCACAGCAGGAGTTCTGCAGAAGTACTTGGTATAACGTATCATAGAATGGATAGCTGACTGTGCGAGTACAGCGTATGCACTAAGGTTTAAGGTTCAAATGAATACACATTGATGGCGGCTATAAATAGACCAATCGGCATCTGTCATCGTATATCGAAGTTCCTACAACGCCGCTCCGGATACACAAGCCGCCACTGACAATCCTACGCTCAGTCCACTCAACCTCGATAATCGACGGACGCGGGTAACATAGTAGAAACGCCTCATAAACTTAGAAGATACTTCAGCACAACGGTGAGCTAGGTTTTAGTACGCGAACCGTACGCGAATCATTCCTTCACGCTAATACGCGGTACGATGGCGAGAATATATCCGCAGAGTTCTGATACCCTCTGCTGCGATCACCAAATGCAGCGCCAAGTAAGTAAGAGAACAACGCTCGCACGACAATGTATATGGCACTCGAGGCCAGCAAACGCCACTCATATAAGTCTCTGAACAAGTGAACATCCCTCTTTATTTGCGTATTGAATCCAGGCCCAGCACCATGTGTGTGTGATCTTCCACAGTAGAGTGTCTACAACCTCCGGTTGAGCATGTCGTCTACACCCCTAATCGAGCAACTCAATGTATTCAGCTAAAAGCATGTATACTATTATACTGAAGTATTCCCAATGATCTCTAAAGCAGTGTGTTCAGCTCGAAGCTAAGCATAGTCTTATAAAAAGGCACCTGGAGATTCCGACTTCCCTGTTTCTAGCAACTGAAGTGTTTCCAACCAACTTTGGTCATGACAACTTCTTAAGACCGATCATTTAATAAATGATATCGCCAATATTTAACAACCTCGCCATATTTTAGACATAATTCGCGGCAATGCAGTCCAAGCCAGTTCTTAATGCGGAGTTAACGAAACTGTGCCATCATTACACACACAAAAAACGCAATATACTACAAGTGATGCACTTCATATGTCGCCATTAATGTAATAGAGATAGAGGTGCACGAATTAATTATAGTTCACTAGTATGCGGAATATGCGGTTGTAGGTTTACTGCTTGCTTGACTATTGGAGTGATGGGTGTGATACTACAGATTAGCCACTGATGTGAATTCGTATATGTGTATACCCACTCTGGTGAGATGTATATCACATGAAGTCCCCGCTCAGGTCATCAGCACACCAGAGCTCAGGCAGGAGGGTGAAGTTGGACAACCAAATTGAGGAAGTTTGACCCCTATGTTGTGATCTACTATAATTAGAAAAGTGGTGCTGGGATAGAAAGTCTATAAACCGTGGATTTATGAGAAACGTACAAAGATGCATAAATACAACGAATAGATGCGATACAGAAGCACAATTCATAAACACAATAAATAAATACAACACATTAAAACAATAAATAAACACAATATATCTTCGAGTGGACATATAAGAGACGATGTATAGTGGTGCAAAACCGCAGCACAATACACAAAGTCAATACATCTTTACGTGGACTTATGCGAAACAACTTTTAATTGTAAATAAAAATAATGCATGGATACAAAATAGAAGCACAATACATAAATACGATACTTGAATACAATACACAAGTACAATACATCTTCGCGTGGACCGATGAGAAACGACGTTCAATGGTAGACGTTTAAAGGTACATAAATACAATACATAAATACAATACATCATCGCGTAGAATTATGAGAGACGACATATAATATTACATAGCCACAATACATAAATACAATACATAAATGCAATACAACATCGCGTAGACTTGAGAAACGACTTATAATCGTACATATATACAATCCATCGTGAGGACTCGCTACTTATCACTTACTACTACGGTGGCAGTTAAAACAGGAGAGAGGCGATGTTTAATCGTACATAATAAATACAATACAATGTCGCGTGAACTTACCACTTGTCACTGCGGTGGCAGCTGTACGTCAAGTGCTGCTCAGGAACGAGCTTCTGTCATCTGTACACAACAACAACATATTTATAATACTAGTATTTACACAAGAGTATAAAAATAAATAGGAAGTTCTTTTCCTTCACCTGAGTATATGCGTGGTGCTGTACCCCCGCGAGCTGCCGGCATAATGAACTATGTACTTCAAAGTATGTTCTGGCTTTCGAACAACATGGCCCAGAACTAGGTTTTACAGAGATCAAAAATTCAGAGTTGAATTAACGTACTCAATACGGTTTGAACCCCCCTGAAGTTAGGGGCTGTCGTATCACATATAGTATTTTCCGTAAAACGTATGTACCACTTTACTGATGTACTGATGTATAATATGCCGCACAGGTAAACCTAGTTTTCCTATTGTCGTTTTGAAAACGCATCGTCGATCTCGTGATGACCCACGAACTGAAGAGTTAATCCGTATAGGGGTACAATTTGACAGTTAAACGTAAACGCTTATATACTTGAATCTTTTTACTACAAAACGTTTATAGGGGCTAAATGACTGGTAAAACCGTTCTATTTTGTGATTTAAACGGGCACTCTAAGACAACGTTCCGGAACACTTTGTACCTGAAGGCTCCGAACATGCCCCCATATCGACAGCCATAAGGTCACCCGATATAAACGTATATTAGAAACGTACTATATTCAAAATATATACGTTTCAACGCAAAAGGTATCGAGGGGCCACTCCAGAAGCCGTTCAGAAAGCTTTGTGTTCTGAAGACTGAACTTCCTTGTGCGATCAAAACAACAGCCGCACACGTAGCAAGTCTGTAACTGTGAGGAATCCCAGGCGTACCTTTGACACTGTATACCTGTGACATACGTATGCATGTACGTGTGCAGTGTCACTTGTTTGTCTGATACAGACTCGTATGTAAGCATAATCGTGGGAACGTATAAGTGTGCAGTATACATGCAGCTACAGCCGTTTTTGGTTCAAAAGGCACATGCACACGTATCCCAATGAAAGGGAAGCAGTACAGTTTACGCTGAGCTGACTAGTATAACAGAGATCCACATACATTGTCGAATTCAACCTCTGAACATAAATAAGTGAGCAAATAGAGATACTTAATATATATTTATATATACATATATATCTCACACATACAAAATGAGCTCTATAGGACGCACACGTAGCACAGGCATCCGCAGTAGTGCGCGACGAATCAGGGAAGCACTTTTATCCGATGGCCAACGAACACCCGAAACACTGGAGAGTGGTGCAGTGGTCAATGTGTCTACGATAAATGAGCCTGTTAATACCGATACATCGGAGAAGGAGGATACTGATATAAATATGAGTGAGAGTATAGTAGATGCCGAGAACACTGTGGGCGAGCGTCAGGTAGATACGGATGACATGGAAGTAGACATAGACAATCAACAAGATCGTCGTACAAAAAGGGGTAAACCTAAGAGCGTGCGATCACAACGCAGTCAGGATACACAGACACTGGTACATGAAGATATAGACACAATACCTGGAAGTGTGGTAGATAGTGTTGATCAGAGTGTGGAGGAGGATGGTATAAAGATGGTTGAGATAAATGATATCTCTGCCTTGACCTCCATGGCTACTGAAAATGACATACCAACGAGTGATACGATACCACAGGAACATACTCGTGCGCAAACAATGGATACAGATGACATAGCTGACACAACTGAAACACAGGACGTGTCAGCTGAGAAAGGAGAGCGAGGTGTACGAGAGGGCAGCCTTGCGCTTCATGATGATGGTAACGTAGCACAGGAAGGGATGAAGTACAAGTCCGAAACGCAGGCGTTGTTTGACGATTCAAGTGATGAGAGTGATGAAGACGTGCCCCTGACACTGGGTAGTGGTAGTAGTAAGAATAAGAGTACCTCTGCTCACAACGCCGCAGATAGTGATGGTGATGTCAATCGTGATCGCTTTAACCGCACAGACAGTGAACACAATGAACGAGGCTCAGACGCACAGCCAGGGGATGGTAGTGAGCAGGAGAGCAGCGGTTCAGCCTACACGAAAGCACACGATGACACGCACACAGTAGTAGATGGTGACAGCCACACGAAAGGTGAGAGTGATCACGCCTACGCTTCCTCGCCCACGGGACGTCCCGCCAAAGGGTCTAAGGCACGCGCAGAGGCCAAGGGGAAAGTAGTACGAAAGACCAGCAAGCCCAGACCGCGCAAGGACAAGGAGGGGGTGGACGGGGTGGGTAGCCATAAGGGCGGTAGCCGGGTGGGTAGCAGTAAGGACAAGAAGCTGAGCCGACCCAAGAAGGGAATGGCGGATAAGAAGGCGCTAGAGGATAAGATAGCGAACACCCTGAACACCATATATGCGGAATCTAAGGTTAAGCAGGCACCTCGCATTGTCAAGATATCGGGGCATTATACGGCCCTGAATAAGGTTGGTAGGAAGGACGAGAGTGTGGCGGAGATGAAGGAGATCCCGCTTGACTGGGATGGGGAGACGGTCAATACCGGGATGAAGCGGGACGACACCGGTACAAAAAGCAGCGGCGCTGGTACGACGCACAACTCAAGTACCACCAATCCCAAAAAACGCACCAAGCGCGAGCGAAGCTCAGACACCGCTGTCAGTGGGTCGAGTGTTAGAACCAAGCCGGCCAAGGTATCTGTGGCAAACGAATGGGGCGATACGGATTGCCTGTCGTATATTGACTCGTACAAGACAGTGGTAGGTATTACCAGCGCGTTTGGCCGAGATATGGGGAGTGGCGAGGGTAGTGGGAAAGCGCGGCGAGCCTCGAGCTCGGACACAAGTAGTCCTAGAGGGTCCAGAAGTAAGAAGGAGGTGCGTTCGCGTCGTGAGGGGGATGGAGGTGGGGCGGCTATGGGGTTGGGAAGCGATGGTGTGGAAGGGCATGTGAAGAAGTTAACGAATGTCATTCCACGTAAGTCCAGGAAGAATAGGGCTATGCTGAGCTCGAGCGAGGAGGAGGACTTCGAAATGGGGATCTCGTCGATTGAACCGTAAGTGTACTCACTCGTGTAGAATACATACAACATACGTATATATGTCTCTGTTTATATATATATACATATATGTATGATACATGTATGTATGTATATGTATGTATGTATGTATGTATGTATGTATATATATATATATATAGCTTTGTACTTTTTGTTGTGTATTCGCATCATGGGACATGTACTATGTATGCACCCGCGTCTCACAGTGGAACGTTATTATCCTTGTTGTATAGTACACTAAAGATATATTATCAGGGATAGAATAGCAAGAGGAAGTCGACTGTGACTACTATTAGTATCATTTCGTCCTGGAAACACAGAGGAAAGCACTTCCCTTATCTGTTGTAATGTATCTGTGCTGCGTAAAAGTTTATCATCATCTGTCGTCACATGCAATTCCACACAAGTTTATGCACATATTTTCGTGCTGGGAAGTGGGACGAAAGTACTTCCCATGTCTGTTGTAGCGTACATGTACTAAGTAGAAATTAATTTATTATAATATAGTGTATTGTGATATAATATATGTATTATTTTACTATATCATATTGTATTATATTTTATTTATTTTATTATTGTATTTTTCATTGTATTATTTTATGGAATTACATATCATACCACATATTCATCTGCAGTCGCAATCGTGGGGAATTGTCGAGGAAAGCGCGCCAGGAACCTCAGCGTAGCAACGATGCAAATCGCAGGTATGGAAACATATAATTATGTGTATGTTCATATATGTGTATGTAAACGTGTGTGTATTCTTATGTATATATGTATATGTGCATGTTATATGTACATGTGTGTATGTATATGTATATTTATATATATATATATATATATATATTCTTAATGAGTGAGTCCGCATCTAATTTATCAGGTTTACAATCTCATAAAAGAAAGTGTTTCGTAGTGTTGGAATGACAGGCTGCTCACGAATCACAGCCTACATCGTGCACAGCATCTGTGATCATCACATTTATATATATATAAATATATATATATATAATGATGTGCATGCTGCTTGACTACTTACCGAAAACCGGATGGATCGCGAGTTTTCCTTGAGGTATTAGCTACCGTATATTGTCATGTACTGGCGCGTCCTTGATCACACACACGTATATGTATGTATGTATGTATGTGTGTATGTATATATATTTATATTTGTTTTTTATTTATGTATATATATATATGTATGTATATATGTGTGTGTGTGTTTGTGTATGTATATATGTATGTATGTATATATGTATGTATGTATATATGTGTGTGTGTTTGTACGCACACATAATCTTTCTTCGAACATACACATAAAATATGCATATATTTGTATATAAACCTATACATATCAGGCGATCAGAAATTGATACCCCTCAAACTAAGACGGAAGCCCCGAAAGTGACCGGGGAATCAGCGCATGAAGGATATGAACTACTAGAATCAAGCATACGATTAGTATCTAGTAAGGAGCCCATGAAGCGAAAGGAGGCTAATATGGTCTGCGATTGTACCTATGACAACGGTGTGTGCATGACATGCGTGTTGCTGATAGTATACGTGGTGTGGTAGTATGTGTTTAAGTCTATACTCTTGCGGCTGTTCCCTTGACAACGGTGTGTGCATGACATGCGTGTTGCTGATAGTATACGTGGTGTGGTAGTATGTGTGTAAGGTTATACTGTTGTGGCTATAGCGATGACAACGGTGTGTACATGACATCCTGGATAACGATAGTTTACGTAATATACAAATATGTATCTAGCCTATCGAGCATACCTATGGAAACGGTGTGTACTTGACGTCCAGGACAAGGATAGTATACGCAGTATACAAATATGTATCTAGCCTATCGAACATACCTATGATTGTGTATGACATCCATGATAGTATACTTGGTTGTACGCTTTGTGTATATCACTCTCTGTGTAAAGCATATATGCTCGACTGAGTTGGTGACCGATTCAGTTAACATTATTTAAAAGAGAATCAGTAATCAACTGTCTACTGAGGTTTATATTTTGTTGCTCATGATACCTTATCACACGATATTCCTAGCAACCATGATGATTGCTAGGGAGTTTATGGCATCTCTAGCAAACAAAATGGTTGTTAAGGATTTTGTGAAGGATCATTGGTCAACACTTCAGTGCGATGTTGTTAAACACACTTGTGAATAGCTGTCCGTGCGTCATGCACAGTTCCCTACATACTTGTGTGTATGATATTCCCAACATACGTAGGTGTGTGTGTGATAATAGCTGTGCTTCTGGCCGTCGTATCATGTGCAAGCTTTTGTACCGAGGCCTATGCCTGTGCTGAGTCAAAATACTAAGACCATGCCCATTCTATTAATAGATATGATTTTTCTAATTGGGTTTTGAGCGCCTTCTGTAGTGTATGTATTTGATACGTCTATATTGTCCATATATATATCCAGATAATCGTTTCAGAATATACGCTTCACCGGTCTTCTATCATTATCTTACCCCATCTCTGTATTTTCTCTAGATGAAGATGAACTAGAAGACGTGCACGCAATGTATAAACATGCATTCTATGTCCCTACATTGTTCAATTATATCTAAATGAGCATTCTAATTCACTCGCGTATTCCTCCCTCGCCCCTATCTGCTATTCAGATGAAGATGAATGAGAAGACACATATTGTATATACATACATGCTTCTTATTCGCTTCTCCCACCCTTAACCCTTATGCAATCCCATCTTGGCATATTATTCAGACGAAAATGAATTGGAAGACATACAATGTATAAACATGCATGCTCCTTGTTTGCTTATGGCACCCTCATCCCTTATCCCATCCCATTTTGCATATTATTCAGATGAAGATGAGTTAGAAGACGCGTGTGGTCCTGGGTGCCTTAATCGCATTATGCGCCTGGAGTGCAGGCCTGAACTATGTCCCTGTGGCTCGCGTTGTCAGAACCAAAGCTTTCACAAGGTATTTGTGGTGTGGTTTATGAACCTGTTTCTTTGACCATGAGAGTCTACTTATGAGCATGTATGTCTATTGTATGTTTCATCTGGACCAGAGTTTTCGCAAGGTATTTTGTGGTGTGCTTTATTAACCTAATATTTGACTATAAGAGTCTACTTATGAGCATGCATGCACATTGCATAAGATATAGTGAGATGAACTTAATTGGGAAAAGATGTATATATGTAACGGTCCTGATATCAGAATCCTTGCTTCGGCAGTGTGTTGTTTGGTGTACTTCATTGAACATGCGAGACTATTTATGGACACGAATGACTATGCCATGGCCCATCTGCTAGAACCATGTGTTGTGTGGTGTGCTTTATTCAACCCATTACTCCGCCCATGATAGTTAACTCCTCAACATGGATGCCTATTTCATGGTCCACACACAAATGAATACGTTCATTGGATAATTCACATCTAGTAGCCATTGTCCCTGTGATTCCGCTTGCTCTCCACTGCGTCAGTGTCGCCCTGGCATATGTGTTGCATGCTGATGACACATTTTGACACCTTGGTATTAAATTAGTTTCAGAGTCTTTGTTTATCAGACAATACATAGACACCTGTTACGATATAGTACTACCCGAAGCATGTGTACTGTTCAGCATTACGTATTCGTGTAACTGATTGTACAAGTGTTCGTGGAGGTGTGTTGCTAAAGTGTCCATTCAAACATTCCCGTAGGGATTGCAAGTGCCATTGGAAGTGTATGAAACGGAGAAGAAGGGTCGGGGACTACGTTCGCCCGAGAAGCTGACGGGGTGAGTACCACAGTGGTTTGTGAGAGCAGAGATTTGTTTCTAAAGCAATAATGTATATGTGTGTGCGCGAGTGTGTATATGTGTATGTATGTATGTATATATATGTATATACATCCATACACTCTTACGTATTTAATCTAAAAAGAATTGCACAACGTTGATGTTTAATGCCTTGCGAGGCTATATGCATTATGTTTTGTTTGTTCTATTCACTCACTGCGACTCTGTATATTTTTTTCACGCATGCCCATTATGTTGTGTATAGTGATGTAGGTATGATTGAAGTATCTCGTAAGCTTTACTCTGTGCACTGACACTGTATCTTTATATTATATTTTACTGACTCACCCATTCTGTTGCTTATAGTGAAGCTCGGAATGCACAACGATAGATAGGGTTCCACTGTGTGTTTTGAAATTCTACATCGGCCTCCATTTAAACATACATATCTTGTTCTGATTGGCGACCCCCTGCATTGGCTATATAATATACTAGAGCTCTGCATTGTCAAACGTTCGTGACCATATATGTACACCCTTTCTGTTCGGTATCCTGAATCACTGCATTTGCTGCGATATACTTATTATTCTGTATGCTGACGTTATTAGCGGCAATAGTCACCCGAATTCTCCTCTGTGTGCTTCAAAAGATGTCTCAATTTCTCACTATAGGCACCCAAATTCTCTTCTGTATGCTCCAAAAGACGTTCCGATTTTTCACCCAAATTCTCTTATGTATGCTCCAAAAGACGTTCCAATTTTTTACCCAAATTCTGTTTTAATGTTTTGTATGTTAAATATCTTCCTATACTGCCAATTTCTCGCGATAGCGGGTCCTTTGTGATGGAGTATGTGGGGGAGATCATTGGACAAGAACAGTTCAAAGAGCGCCTAGTGACCTATGGCGAGGCAGGCATCAAGCACTTCTACTTCATGACTTTGGGTCCAGACGAATTTATCGATGCTACCAAAAAAGGAAGTCCGTCCCGATTTTTCAACCACAGTTGCGACCCGAATTGCGAGACCCAAAAGTGGGTGGTAGATGGTAGGGATGCGAATGCATTGATTATCTGTGCGGTAGGGTTGGGCAATGGGAGAGTTTGCTATGTGTATATATACAGGTATTGTCGGTACATATATATATATTATATTCGTAGATTATAAATTCGTGGTGATATACGATTCGAATTATTATAGCGGGGATCACGTGTTGCATTCCATATATTTGTCTTCTACAACAAAATCCAATTTAGAGTATGTGCGCTCATTGTCTCAACATTCACGTCTATATGGTATATTTATATATTGAGATATAGAGATATTCTAGTATCATGTGTGTATGCTTGTTTGTATGTAGATACAACTATATGTATATGTATAAATTTATATTATGTATATGTATGTACATGTGTATGTATGTATGTATGTATATATATATATATATGTATTGTTAACGGATTAGTACATTTTTGTTGCAGGCGAGACCAGGATTGGTATCTACACGACGCGTGATGTGGAACCGAATGAAGAGTTGACATTCGATTATCAAATGGAGCGCGAAGGGTGAGTGTGTTTTACTGTATTGTTATTATTTCCTTTTTTTATGGGGGTCGATTACAAGTCTTTGTATTGTGTGTCTGTGTGACAAACATCGTGTCATAGAAGCTACATAAATCAAAATATAATTTTGTATATTCGTTAAATCATGGCAGGGGTGATGTCTCATGTGTGCACACCGCACACTCTCTGATATTCACTTAAAAGATACACTACAACAATGCCTCACCCACGCACGAATTCGTTTGGTCGCTCAGTGAGTTACTTCCAGGAACATTATTGTAATCTCCAGTCTCTAGAGACTCTATCGGCGCACCAATTGGGTCTTTGTTCTATTTGTATATGTATATACTATGGTATTGGTCTATCTATGTATTGATGCACGATGTATCGATGTATTGATGTATTCCGTTTTTGATCTCGCAGAGAATTGAACCAAAAGTGTCATTGCGAGAGTAAGAACTGTCGCAACTGGCTGAGTAGTCAGAAGAAACGTCCCACTCACCCAGCAAGAGGGCAGTCACTCGTTGATGTGGAACCAGAGAAGGTCAATGTGGTATGTTGCGGCATAGGTGGTTGTTCTCATTTCGGCTTTATTGGTGTGTATGTACGTATGAATGTATGTATGTATATATGTGTGTGTGCGTCTGTGTCTGTGTCTGTCTGTGTCTGTGTATATATATATATAAATACGGTATATATTATATATATATATCGGTATATTATATATATATATATATAGGTATATATCTTACAAGCACCTTTCATTCCCACTACAGGCGGCTGCCTTCAAGACGCTCAACAAGCATAATGCGCTGGCGTTTATCCGTACATTGCTGACGGTGATCAATGACAGTGACTATCTGGAGGACGGGATGGCCCTCATGCTGTGCTTGGATCCGGATAAGCTCAAACCATCGGCCGTACAGGCTCTGCTGAAGTTCAGGTTACTCAAAGGTCTGCGTTTGTTACTTGACAAGTCGGTCGAGAGCCTTGCGCAGGTATCAACACTAGAAAACCGACGCGCGCTGGAAGGGTTGGTGGATAAGACAGTGACGGCTATAGCGGACGTGGCTACGGATGCGAGTGTCGCTGTAGCTGAAGGGGCAGCGATGGACAACGACACCACTACAGAGGCGGATCAGCAATTAACACAGGGCGCAGGCGAACAAGAGAGTGTGCGTGCAATAGCCAATGGGGACGGTATGAGTGGGGCGGTGAAAGCAGAAGCAACGGCAGATGGCACTGACACGCTTGGTGGTGGTAACGAGGAGATCGATCAAGACCCAACGGATACCGTCTCTTCAGAAGACGCCAAGGCCGCTCAAACAGGCGCGGATGCCGTTGCCATAGATACGGACAATGCTGGCCCCAAGCCGTCTCCGATTGAGGCTGTGAATAAGCAGGAATCACAAGACCTGATAGTGTCCACAGAAGACACTGATGCGCCTGAGCCCTCTGTGACTGAGGCTGAGCACACGCAGGATCCCGAAGACCAGACAGCACCCGCAGAAGTAAAGGGAGAAGTGGTAGACGTGGTGACAGAAAAGGCGCAACCGCCACAGGACTTTGTGGAGGAAGATCTGTATGCGCTCGCCACATCGGTAATTCGCAACGACGTGCCTGTGGTGGTTGATGCGGCGGAGACAGCCCAGCTAAGGCAACTCCAGGTAACCATAGGTGTTTGTTTGTGTAAATGTGTATGTGTTTGTATGTGCATGTTGATATATATTCATCTATGGCTATATATATATATATATATATATCTACAGCTGTATGTATATATATGTGTGTGGGTGTATATATGTATATATATATATATATACCAAAAGTCTATTTTTCTGTAGTTTCTGCAAATGTGGAGGCAGTGGGTTGTATGAATAGTTAATTGCACTGCTACTATCACTGGCGCGTCAACTACAATATCAGACTGTAGTCTGTCGGTGTAGTTTTTATCTATGTCTGTGATTTGGGACAGGCCATGTCGGAATACCGACATACAATCACTTATGTGCTCTGTATATCGGGATGGTATACTGAGGGTTATAGCTACAATGCATTTCGAACAAATCCGGTTTTTCTATCCAATACATAGTTTATATTGGACTTGAAAAAAAGGATCTCTTCTTTTGCCACATCCTATTTGGGTCCTTTATAGTATTCATCAGAGTAGCATTCAAAAAGTTCTCTTTCATACATGTCTATGCAGTACATCTGTTTAACACTCTAAGCGCTCTCTCCCCGGTGCATCGACTAATCCCATCCAATTTGCCATGCACGCGATACCTCAGATCATTATTCTAAGGATTCTCTCTAAGATCGAGTTCCAATTCCGCAACCCAATCGACGATGGTAATATGTGGCCTGTGATCAAGAGCCTGGCTAAAGAAACGAACAAAGAGTATGTGCATGGAGCTGTTAGTGTGCGTGTGTATTTTAGCTTCTCTCTAGAATAATTGTGGTGTCGGATGATGTAACCTGTGCTTATACGTGACACCCAGATACTGTAGTACATATTCAGATATAGTTCACGTATTTACATATATAGTATACGTGACTTCCAGACACTGTAGTATACATATTTGAATATAATATACGTATTTAATTGTAGTATACATATTTAATTGTAGTACGCGTATTTAACTATAGTATACATATTTAAATATAGTATACGTAATTATATATAGTATACGTGACTCCCAGATACTGTAGTATACATATTTAAATATAGCATACGTAGTTTCCAAATACTTTCTGATATGCTTTCCTATTCGTTTACATACAAACAACGAGCATGTGTGCTGAGTCGCTAGTGTTCGTAAGGCCCACATACTTTTCAGACGCGTTGAGTTCTCGTGCAGTAAATTATTAAAAGAACGTGGGCAATCAGCCAATCGTGGGTGTTCTTATGGAACGCTTTCCAAAACATTTTGTTTTTGTTCGACCAAAGCTTCAGATAGAGTATGTGCCATAAACCACAGTAGTGAGTGTTATTTCTGAACCCATTCTCATGGTGGAATCTCATTTGCCGAAAGGAACAAATAGATCAATTGAAGGGGGTTTTCAAATGTGTGTTGCTTTTGTGCTATACAGTTCTATACTCGTTGGTAGCCAATATTTGCAGATGAGCTACGACGTACACACCGTGAGAATAAATAAACAGTCAAGGCGTGGTATGAACGTACTGAACCTTTGAACTCTGGCAATTCTAGGCGTATTACAAACATAAATATATTTTATATGTATGTATATGTATATATATATAGCTAAATATTAACAGACATGAGAGTACTACCATCATACGCAGATAAACATTTCAATTGCGTACTATATTAAGTGTGTACTCGATCCGTATCTTGCATCTGTGGTACAACTTAACTAGTGTGACTTGCCTTTGTCCACAGCATATCCGACGCCGCCGGACGACTGATAACCCGTTGGAGCAGTCTTCGCAAAGAAATCAAGATACCAAAGAAGACCCGAGAGGACAAAGAGAAGGAGAAATCCGACAGAGAAAAATCCGACAGCCGCGATAGGACTAGAAGGGCCAGTGAACTCAATAAGTAGGTATCTTCATATAGACAACATCAGAGAAATATGACTCGTACTCACTCCTGCTCTATGGGTGTAAATGTGTAAACGCATAAGTATATACTAAGTTATTAATGGCCTATTTACCCTGGTGAAAAGACGTACATTTCATTTGCTAGTTGAAGTATCAGAAGATAGGATAGGCTGAATTAACCGCTTGGAATCACGGTATCGATATAGGACTACTTCTTTCGTTGCACGTAGTAAGTGTAGCTGTATACTATACACATGCTTTGTTTATTCGTTTGTGGCCAATATTCAGTAATTGTATGTTATATTTGTATACTTGTGTAAAGGACCTTATACTTAATCTGACATCCAATGGTGTATATGCCTAATCACGATAAGACGCCATGATTTGTAAGTCAAATCACATGATCACGCAAGTTTTGTAGGCGTCATCTTTCTAATATTCGATGATATACATGCTGAATCGCGTGATCACTCAATGATAGACGCTACTTCACACTTGCACACGAGTACTTTTACCTGGATCACGCTAACACCCAAGACTGGTCTGTCTTTGCAGTGACTATAGCTCTGCGTACGCCGCTGCGGCCAGCCGATTCGGCACTCACAACAGACTACGCGGGAGTATTGGTGAGGTGCCCCTCAAACCAACACACAGCACACATATCCACACCCACACGCCTAAAGACCTCGATCTAGAACAGATATACAATGAGATGATGGACCAGCTCCCTGGGCAGGCTGGCGTGCAGGCACACGCACAGGCACACACTGTGGGTCGACGGGGTTTGTATGAGAGTGTGAGAGGTGGCAATGGACTGACATACAGGGAGATGGGAGAGTTTAGTATAGACCCGGGTGCGCACATTGCCATGTCGCATACAGAGGCCGGCGTTAAACCAGTGCATGGTATGGCCGAGGGAGGGTCCCTGGGTAAGTGTACTTGAAAATGCGCATGTATTTAAGAGTATATATATGTATGTTTGTATTTGTATTGTGATATATATATGTGTGTGTGTGTGTGTGTATATATATATACGTCTGCCACGCGGGCCGTCTGTAGTGAGCCTTATGATGAAGTGTTGAATAGTTTGTGTTAATGGACTGGGCCGCCCACCTTAATATACATACCCTTATTCATTGCATGATTATATATACATGCATATCATGTTTATATACATACATTTTCTGTTCCTATACATACACTTCCTCATCCTATCCTTCTACTACATTTGTCTCATTATTATCATACCTCGCTTGTACTCTTCGCCCCAACTCTCAGCCTACAACAGCCGGATCGCACCTTCATACGGCATGTACAGTCAGCAGTACCATCAGTCATACACCCATGCCCAGGGTTGGCAACAGAGCATTGCACAGCAACATAATGACATCCCTGACCCACGGATCCAACCCCTCGCGCCCCCTGAGGAAGCCTTGCCAGCAGGCTGGATGTCTACCATGGGTGGGTTTTTATTGTGAACTTGAGTGCTGTATTTCTGTTCATCTAACGAACGGATTGGTGAAAATTGTTGCTTTCTAGCAAGGATTCTAACTTAAAAATATATGTTTTTGTACGGGGTATATACTCTGGATGTTGCGATGTATGGTTTGAGAGTGTGTGCTAAAGTGTATGTGTCTGTGTATATGTGTGTGTGCGTGTATGTGCGTGCGTGCGCGTGTGTGTGTGTGTGTGTGTGTGTGTGTGTGTATTTGAAATTATGTATGCGTGTATACATAAATATTGCTCAGCTGCAAACCCTTCCTAAGCAACAGATGTATGCATGTGTATATATGAAGTGTAGTCATTCTGGATACTAGCCAAGAAATGGTATTTCAGAAGTAGTTTATTTAAGTGTTCAGAAGTGTGTATATATGAAGTGTAGTGTGTCTATGCACGCTGTAAAAGTTAAAACCCCCTGTGCGGCTTTTATAACTCTTGCAATTGTTACAACCTGTATTGCGCTCAGCTGTTTTAATCCGCTCATAAGGAACAATGAGTGCACTATAGCCGTGTACATCTGGCATACACAACACTGTATACTGACTATCCGTAGGAATTAGGCAATTCCAAAACATATCCGCACAACCAAACAACACTGTACGTATGCATATACCCAGAGGCAATAAGTCTGGTATAATTATAAATATCTCTGATACACAATGTCTTAACTACTTTTTGGAAAACAAGCCGTTACGCATGTTATCCACAAAGCCAACCAACTCACCCTGTGCACAAGCAGATACCAACAAGCATCGAGCTTGTGTTGCAATGTATGTATATATGTATCTATTTCTCTGTACATCTGTGTTGCACTCATTATCATCCCTCATACATATCCTCCCCTGTTGACCCATCCGCAGATCCCAAGAAGCAACGAGTGTACTACTACCACGTAGACACTAATCAAACACAATGGACTAAGCCAACAGCCGATACAGTACTGCACACCATAGCACCACAACCCTCGCTAGCAGACGAGGTGCCAGCTAGTAAAAGGTGTGTACGTTGCCCTTGTGTGGTATTGCGTACATCTATATGTATGTGTATATACACAACTATGTTTGTATATATGATATATATATTTATATTTATTTTAATTCATATACGGTGTATGTGTGTCTGTATGTATGTATGTAAGTATATACAATTAAAACAATAGTATATAATCATGTGTGTATCCATAAATATATATATATATTACTAAATACCAATCTTCCGTATAGCCCCACATCACCCTCCGGTTCAAGAGACTCCTTGAAACGCAAGAGTGAGGCGGCAGATAAAGCTTCCGAATCCGCTCACAAGAGGCAGAAGACCAGCGTCGAAGATACGAAGACACTCGAGGAGAGGAAGCGCAATTTCAGAGCTATGGTGCGTGTGTAAGGGAAAATTGCATGTTCAGGAATATATTTGCGAAAGTGAGCATACGGGTATATACGTATATATACTATTATATTGACATATGTGAACGTGTGTGTATATAGTTATGGTGTGTGTCGGGTGTATCTACCTACTTTGAGTAGTGTCTGTATCTGAATATATGCGCCCTCTTATATAGATCTAGATATTGTTTATACGTGTATATCCAGAGGGTTTTTTCTGTGAGGGGCGTACCTGCATGATATTGACCAATAACCTTGATTGTATATTCATTAGGGTCTATATACTTAAGTGTTCTTTATGGATATATGCGTACATGTATATTTAGACCTTTGGTGTTTACGGAGAAGCATCGGCACACATGGAAATCAGTCTCAAAAGTATATCCCAAAAGTATATGTGTATGCACATAGTACCAATGTACCAACGTGTTCGGTTGTCGAACAGTCTGTGGTAGCTCTGCGCTGTATGAAATATGGTACAGTACTTCGAGGGCTGGCCTTTAAGCCGGGGCAAGACGGACGCTGTGTTGCTCGCCTTTTCAGAAACTATAAATAGATCCGTATGGTCATATTCGTTTCACAAGCACAAGTAATGTGTCTTCAATTAAAGCGTTTGTACCTGATTGGCATTGTATGTTCTTCTGTTCGCGCTGACTAGATGCGTATGCTCCTATACATGTTTTTACAATGAATATAGATTTACAAGATAAGCCGTTCGAATAGGGTGGATGTTGATTATATTCACACTGAGAGCTGTTTTAACATTCCGAGTATATTGAACATATCAAGGATATGTACATGTAGGTCGTAAGGGATTGATATCGTGTAAGCTAAATTGGGCTTAAGGTCTAGAGTTTAAATATTGACCTGTTTGTTTGTTTTTTACCTTATGACTAGATGTGTATGGTTATATTTATACATCTACATACATACAATACCAATGCATTTACGTTATATCACTAGATATTTATGGTTCTATTTATATACCTACATACATACAATGACAATGCGTAGTTTGCATACCAAATAATATTCTTTGTAGTACATCTCACAACTCACCATACAATCTTTGTACCACATGGTTCAGGGGTTTAGGGTAATTCCAGTACACTATATAATCTTTGCATCACAAGGTTCTTAAGGTTTGGTGTTAAAACTACGTACCCTTTGTACCTCAGGGTTTAAGGTGTCCATAACTCACTTTATATCTCGGTTTGATTTCTACAATTAGGTCTCCAAATCTGTCATCAAAGTACTGGGCAAGTACAACAAACCCGGCTGCAAATTCGGCCGCATCACAAACAAGGACGATTTCAAACATCTCGCTCGAAAGGTACGCCTTTTTATTTACTCGGAATGGTACTACTTCTCATTTCTCGCGCTACTATTTAGATACGCCGCCTGTTAGGTAGCCCCGATTTCTCTTTGTGACGAACTGCGTACCTCTACTTCTTGTTGTAGTATGCGTTATTTAATTACGAACTCAGAGATATCCGTTAAAGCCGAGCCCCGTTTCTTTTACCCCCGTATAGAGTGCGCGTACGAGACCCTTGTGTGTGTGTGTTTGTATCATTCGTATGGAGACTGAAGAGTCAGTTCTCCGTATGTGTAAAGCACACTAAGAAGTCCTTCATTGCCACCGGATGTCGTGCGTATATGATGTTATATTATTCTTATGCAACAGTTCTGTCGTGCACTGAAGTGTGTATGCTGTTATCCAAAGGGAATAGAGATCGTCTGTGTGCTGCTGCTTTTAGGGTTTAGGGTTTAGGTACTGATATGCCTTCAATTTCCATCTCGTCTCTGCCCTCTTCCTAGATCACCCATATGATTGTCGAGAGGCATACCAAGAAGAACGATTTTAGTGCCACTGAAGGTACGTCAATTTTTTTACATGCAGAATACATACGTATTACGTTTTTTTGTTTAGTGTTGATATTTGAAAGTTGATATAAACATGCGCATGTATAAACGTATGGCTCGCCAGTCTGTATATATATGTGTGTGTGGGTGTGTTTGTATATATATATATATATGTGTGTGTGTATGTTTGTGCATATATATAGATATTGAATATATATATGTGTGTGTGGGTGTGGGTGTGTATATATGTGTATATATATATTGTGATATTTATATATATTCTTCAATTGCTTACTAAGGCATCCGAATATTTATATCGTAACAGAATATATTTTGCAATGTCTTTTTTGGGTGTTGACGTGGATACGACACAGGACGGGTTGCGTCTTGTTGTAAATCTTGGCCTGTACTTAAATGCTCGGTGTGTATCGATCAGCCTGTAGATCTATATATATATATATATTAACTATATTTATATATCTTTATCCATAGTATTAGAATTATTAGCATTAAATTACTATACGTATTGTATACCTGCATGTTTGTCTGATACCTATCTCCCATGTCACCCCATTTCTCGCCACAGCGGTGCACGAGAAACTTGAGAAATACATCCACAAGTCCATGAAGAAGCAAGGGAGTGTCTACACGCGCAAAACCATGGACTCTGATATCGAGTATGCAGACACCAACACCGCAGCCAAGCGATTGACGCATCTGAAGGAGCGGAGACGAAGGAAAGAGGCCGAGGCTAGGCGTAAAGAGCGGCGACGCAGTGATAGCAAGTATGTGTCTGATGCTGTCAGTTCACCGAAAGAGGGGTTGACCTGGAATGAGAGCACCGCTCGAGTGGATGGGCATGTAGATGCGGCGGCGGGGGGGGGGGTGGAGTATATGGAAGAGGATAGTGACATGCATATTAGCGATGACAGTAATGACCTTATGGATTAGTAACTTAGTATTATAAACAAACGCGCGCACGGGTGGTTGAGGGTGTGGCGAAGTTGAACACGTGGGTTTTTCTAGGCTGTCTGTGATTAGTGACTTAGTAAATATAATAAATTCATATATGGACTATTGAGGGAAGTGAAGACAGCCACATGGGCTGTAAACGGGGATTAGTGACTGAAGAGGTAGGATAAATGCTCTAGAACTATTGAGGGACTTAAGGACAAGCAAATGGATTGTGTTTAGACTGCAATTAGTTTTTCAGTATGTTGCACAGCCGCACTTATGTTGTACCATTGCGATAAGTGACTTGGTAGATGAAACAAATGCACACATATGCCATTAGGTGAATGGAAGCGAACAGTTAAAAAAAGCCGAGTGTTGGTTATGTATCTTACAGAAGACGCTTAGTAAAGTGACGTGCTACTGCAAGGATGATTCACACAATACACATAAAGATACCTATAAGTTGCATTGGACTAGTAACATATATCGAGCCACCTGTATTGCTTTCCCTATACTTTAAACTATGACGGGTGCTCCTAGACTCTATCCCCCAACAGCGGGCATCACAAGTGTGTGCCTATATCGCTGTCTAGCGACTTTGGTATATATGCAGAATATATCCCACGATACTTGGACTCTATGAAAGCGACAGATCAGAAAACATACTAAATTTAAAAGACACAAACAACACACTAAACTAAAAAGTCACAAACAACACGCTAAACTAAAATGTCACAAACAACATGCTAAACTAAAAATCACAAACAATGTACATAATGTGCCTGGCTTCTCCTCTGTGAAGTTAGGGTTTTAGAATCTGTCTGGTGTCAAGGTACAAAACTAGTCCTGAAAACAAAACATCTTATGCGCACTAGGTAGTATACTTGGATTAGAGCAACATAATCAAACCCGCCATATACATACCCTACTGTCTTATCATATCACAGTATCTAGCAGACTGTATATAAATACACACTTTGCATACTTGCATACGTACTCTCGGATATTCCTTGTTGTGGTCAGTGCAGCGTGTGCTCCTGCTATTTATTTACTGTTCATGCGCACCTGCTGTACCCTTCATGGCACGCGCGGCGGTCGAAATGTGAGGTACATGTGGTGTGTACATCTAAAAGGAAACACCCAGAAGCATACGCTGAGCTTGTTTCCCATCGTATTTCTATATTATATACATATATGTGTGTGTGCGTGCGTACGTGTGTGTGTGTGCGCTATATTATCATTCACCCTGATCCCTTCTCATCTCGTGATATTGCACATCCTCAACGTCCTCCACCTCGCCTAGAATACCCCGCAGTATCTGCTGTCTCTCCTGCAACACAGCCTTTCCAACCTTGGCGAGATGCATGTTGGTATTGATGTACGAGTGTGCGTGCACTTCCATCTCCAGCAGCTTGTACCGCATGAGGTCGATGTAGACCTTGTCCACGTCACTGATCGTAAAGTCCGTCTCTTTAGTCGTACTGCGGTCGTACGTGTGGCTCGAGGGCACGAGGAACGCCGTTTGTATCTCATCAAAGATCACACGCTTGCGCCTTGTAGCTGGGCGTGGCCTTGCCACAACTGGTTGCTCCGACTTCTGCTGCCTCCCACATATTTGTCGTACGTCAGATCCTGTAGTGGCTGGTGGCTGTATGCAAGACTGTATTGGGGTCGGTTGCGCTATATCATTATGTCCTTCCGTTGACTCTTGCGACACTCCTGTCGGCAGCTGCTCTATATACGCCTCTGTGGGTGCTACTTGCCCTATGTCGGGCAGTGCGTTTGTTGGTTCTCCAGTCTGTCCTGTGTCAGACTCTCCACAAGCTATTTGTCTTACATCCGACTCCCCCTTCGACAATTGTTTTGCACTCGGCCGATCCGGGAACAGTAGCTTTATGTATGGTAGTACATCCGTTGAATGTCCTGGTTGTTCTACGTCTGACTCATCCTTCGCCATTCGTCTTACACATGACCGAGGTGGGACGAGTAATCCCAAGGCCGGCAATATATCCGTTGATTGTCCTGGCTGCCCTACGTCTGACGTGCGCTTCGTCAGTTGTCTTGCGTCTGACTCTCCCGTTGCCAATTGACGTTCACCTGGTCGTGATAAACCGAGTAGTCCCATGTTCGGTAACACATCCGTCGAATGTCCAGGTTGCCCTACGTCTGACGTGCGCTTCGTCAGTTGTCTTGCGTCTGACTCTCCCGTCGCCGCCTGTCCTACACCAGGCCGTGCCTGGATAGGTAGCTCCATCTTTCGCAGTACATCTGCTATATTCTCTGAATGCCCTGAGCTTTTCCGCCTTTCGTCCGAATGTCCCGTGTCTGACTGTCCTGTCGGCCCTGCGCCTGGTTGCCGTTGGGGTTGGACACTCCACTGAACCGTCTGCAAGTATTGACTATCTAGCTCACCTGTTTCTCTCTCATTGGTTAACGCAATGTGAAGCGTCTCTGTACTAAATGTCACATCCTTATGCGTAGTCGATCGACTAGCACGCTCCTTAGATAAGGCCCTCTTTGCCTGCAGAGCCATATAGATCAACGGTTTAAACGACAGGGATTTCCTACTGCTGTCGGCGCTGTTTCCCGAGTTGCTCCGCGTTCTACCGTCTTGCAGCTGGTTGAGATCACTGCAACTTCCACTCTTTTCGTCAGTCTCTGTATTCGAGGCTGTGCTCTCATACACCTCCGCACTGTCAGTGTACTTGATGGGCTGTCCGCCACCTATCTCGCTCGGTTCAAATATCAATGTGCTAGCGTCGTCATGGCAACTACTTCGATTGCTATTGCCGGTCCCATCGGTAGAATAACTCCTCCTAAACACGCCTCGACTACCGCTACTGCTGCCATGCTTAGCATAGGCGCCCATGTGATGCTCCTCTGTGACTCTGCTCAGTGCACCCTGCAACGGCCTGCCATCCCAAGACGACTGTCTGTAGAACATGTGGCGCGAGTTCCGGTGTTCAGCAGCGTCTAAACTACGTTCTCCATCCCTTGTATGCTTATCTATGTGGGTGCGGGTGTGTGCGTGTGCATGCATATCCTGCCCCGTATACGAACTAGTCGTTTCCATTTGAGGTCCTGAGCGTGTCCGTGTCACCGTTGCGCCTGCGCGGTCTCTCTCAGCAGACTCCACCGACTTGTTGGATATGTTTTGGATGAGGGACGTAGGCGACGGAAAGCAATGCACAGACCCATCCGAACTCCTGGGGGTCGCGCGAGTATACGTATCGCCGACATCTGTGGGGGTGTATGAGTGGCTCCTGTGGTAGTTCCTGGCACCCAACCCAGCTGCTCTGCTGCCGAAACTACTCCAACTCTGTGCTGGTGCTCTATTCGATAATGGTCCACTATGGCGTTTCTGAAGTGCGTTTTGTCTGTCATAGTCCTGACTGGGAGTCCCGGGTACGTGTGCTCTATGATTCGATAATTGTCCACTATGGCGTCTCTGACGTGTCTTGTGTCTGCCATAATCCTGCCTGGGAGTCCTGGGTACTTGTGTTTTACTCGATAATTGTCCACTATGGCGTCTCTGCGGCGTGGGATGTCTGCCATAATCCTGTCTGGGAGTACCGGGTGCAAACCCTTGGTAGTCGAGACTGGGAGATCCCACGGGTGAGCCACTATACTGTGTGGGTGAATAAGCCCGTGTATGCGTGTAATGTGTGGGTGTGTTTATACCACTGCAACCTGGCGACGGCTGCGAGCGCGTGTGTGAGAGGTGCGAAGATATGTTTGTGTGCCGCCTATGAGGCGAGCTATGCTGTTGATGTCCGTTGGGCTGTCGGTGTTGACGGTGCTGAAGCGGCATTCCAGTGCGGGTTGCCGCCCGGAGAGGACTATTTATAGAATTACTCGTGACTCTGTACTCTGTGATGCTGTGCGATCTGTTGTGCAAGATGCTTCGGGGTCTGTTCCCCGTCATACTGTGGCTTCTATGCCGTGTGCCTCTGTGTGGCCGATTATACGACAGGCGATGGGGCCTATGTGTAGTGTCGCTATCATATGCATCGTTTGGCTCACAGCAGTGACTGTGTGGCAGTGGTTGTCCCTGTGCCGTATTACGAGCTGAGCTGAGCTGCACTAGCGAACAACGACAGCTCAGATGTTCTAATATCTCCGACGGATAAACAAACACCCCCCCCGTGTGTGGGTCTGAGTGTGGGTGTGGAGAGGATGTATCTGTGTGACTATCCAGTGCACTGAGTCTATCTCCGCGGTGTTGTGAGGGTAGGCTCTTCGGTTGAGCCTCGACTACAGCACCACCACCAGACGACCTCGGCACGGGCTTGCTATGTCGTTCGGCGGTGTGGCTTTGGCCCAGTGCCGTGTAGTGCGCGTGTGATGTGACGATTGCCGTGCCTTCGGGTGACACGCTTCGGAAATCGAACTCGTTCTCTTCTTCCTCAATACTCCCCCCAGACATTAAACTGTACTGCCGCTGCAGTTTGCCAATGGAAGCGTTCAGTGAGGTCCGCCCAGACACTGAGGCTTTCTGCGCTACTCTCTGCTTTCCCGTATCCACCCCCACGCCATGTACTCGTTGCCTAGTTACCGGTTGCATCGCTACAGCCTCAGCACTGGGCCTGTGCACATCGCACCCTTGCGGTGCAGTGCTGCACTCTGCACAGTGCACCTGCAATGATCGCATGTGCATCGCTCGCCATACCTGCCTGGGAACACCCGTAGGTTGCTGAGCTGTGGGTGACATGATGAATGCGGTATCTGTATACTTCTGCGACACTTTGCCGTCACACGCACTCCGCGGCCGCTTCTTGTATGTCCTTGGCTCGGCACAACTAGCCTTCGTGTCACTGCCGTTGCTATGTTGGGCTTTCAGCATCCCTCTGCTCTCGGCATGTCTCTTTGCACCGGCGCCTGTCTGTCTATCGCCTCCGCGCGCACGAGCTGACACATTCAGTGCCGGTGCCTGCGTGAAGCTCATAGCCACCCCAGCCTGCTTCCGCCTCCGATACTCCTCAATCATACTCTCCTCTAGCCTGCACTTGGACTTCTCAATCACCTTCCTGTCCCTTTCTCGCCTGCTCTCCCCCTTGATCTCCTCGTCGATCTCCTTGTGTTTGGCTGTGATGGTTGTCGCCACCCTACTAAGCACCCGTGCCGAGGCAGCCGCACCAATGTGTATCGGACTTATACTACTCCCACTGGAGTTTGACGTTTTCTTCCCGAGCTTGGCACTACTGGATAATTGGCCAATATGCGTGTTTCTCTTCCCCAGCTTAGTGCTGCTGGATAATTGGCCACTATGCGTTTCACGCGAGTTTAACGTCAGCTCTCCGTCCTTGGCCGACAGATCAGTACTAAGTGGACGTGATACAGGGGTAGGGGCAGACGCGCCTCTACGTAGTTTTGCCCCGATATTTGATTTAACCTCCTTCATCCCACCGCTCTGGGGAACTGATGTCAGCTGCTCACAGTTGTATGTGCGTATGTGCGTGCGTGTGTTTGTGTGCGTGCGTGGATCAGTGGTTGGTGTGCTGTGTGTGCAGGTATCATCATCTGCCGCATGTGTGTGTGCATAGGTATGTGTCTTCGTAGCATTAGTATTCGCCGTGCCCACACTAGTTGTGTCACGTGGCCCGGCATTGGTACCCTCTACACTGCGCACAGGTACACTCGTTAGTGCAGAGAGTTCACTCGAACGAGCAGGTAAGCTCACCGTCCGTACACCGGAAAGAGCGTGTGTGTGTGTGTTTGCGCGTACTTTGAATGAATCTGTGCCATCTCCAAGCCCCACCGTGCCACGCTCAGCCGATGACGCCTTATTACTTTCAGCAGTACCTAAACGGGTGTCGCACTCGGCAATACTACTAGCGTGACTGCACCTACTATCACTACTCCTGTAATCACTATTGCTATTTAGCCGGTTAGGCCTAACCTTAAGCAAAACGGGCTGTACTCCGCAGGAGGGGGGCACTCTGATAGGCTCGTTCGTTGTCCAGGACATACGAAAAGCTGACTTGTTACTAGACTTAGGTTGTCTAACTTTCACCCCTGCGTCTGCATCCATAGCATGCAGCTCTGAATCATCCGAATAATCGACATCAGACAATACACTACTCGCACTACGAGTATGCAATTCAACTGTTTTACTTGGTTTCCTGCTTGCTGGTGTGCTGATACTGACAATATATTGTGATCTCTCTATGGGACATGTGCACTCTCCTTGCGAAACTACCGTAGAGTGCATGTACCCAGATGGTTCGCTTAACTCATAGTGTATATCCTTCTTTGTAGGTCTAGCCTTGGCAACAACCACCTTAGAATGTATATGTACATTTTTTGACTGCTGCAACGCTTTCTTCATATCAGAATTTTCGTGCAAACTACCGACAAGGCCATCACTTGCATTGCTTTCCTTCCTCGCCTTCACCTCGATGATAGTACCCTCGGCTGGAATTGTATGCCCAGTCGTGAGTCTGACTGTCTGTGACTTGTGAGTTACATGGTATGTCAATCCATTGAATAGTTCTCCTCCGGTATTCTTTGTATCCACAATACCACGGACTTTATCGTACTTCGACGGGTTCCAGAGCGTCGTTGTAGCACCCATATTGGCAAGCAACAAAAAGGGCAATCACCAAACGATCCTTAATCCAGACGTTAAGCTAGTTTAACATATCTAAAGCGACAATACTGACCAAGCCGCATATGAGTGAAGCTGCATAGCTACATGCTATAGTTATGACAACCGAATAAATACACCAATTCAGTTTCCTATTTCAGACTTCATAGTTCAAACAACATATGGAAGCTATTCATATATATTTATGAGAAATATATACTAAAATATAACAGCAGAGACCTAATTACACGTACACATATGAACTGATATCTATATAAAAAAATTGAAAGATCCGAAACAAGTACATCCTTCACATGGATTTTTTAGAAAACAAAGTGGTCTGTTACATAATCTTTATAAAATTATTTATGTATTTACTTATTTACATAGTATGTATCAGCCTTCTAAATTTTAAAAAACATATGTAAGTACAGTAATAAATACCGTACAGAACTACAGATACATAAATATATTTATTTTTTAAAAGGGGGTTTTTTTTTAAATAAATGAATAATATGTACGATTGACTTGTAAACATCATAAATACGCGTATACGACTGTAAATATTTACATTTGTAATATTTACAAAATATGTAATATTTTACATAAAACAATTATTCACCAAGCTATTTTCCCAAAATCAAAATCAAATTTCTTGTTTTAGAAACCAAATCAGATTTGATCGATCTCTCGCACAAGAAAAACTCCCGCTGATGCCGGCCCCCTCCGGGGATTGGACTTCTTTTGTGTTTTTATTGACTGTACCAAAACATTATTCTATTTATTATATAAAAACAATATATTAGTCTTTGCCACGGATTATCATTGACTGCGCTCAACGTTTGCATATATCGATTGTCAATAAAGGTGCATATTCGGAGCCCTGAGGTTCAATGTATTGAGGATAAATATCTATAGGATGTCCGATCTATTTTTTAATTCAAGTTTTTCCCCACTTTCGACCATGTTTTTAGGTAAATACGGATTAGGGTTGTTTCTATTTCTTTCTTAGAGAAAACAGAGTGGATCGAATTTGTTGTTGTTTTTTTTGTTTTAAAATAATAAACAATATTTATTGAAGCCGCTTACTGCGGGTCTGCGGCAGTCCAACTAAAAATACTCTGCTTCTTGTTTTTGAAAAACAATTGTTATCAATATATATAAAAATAAACCCTCTCTACTTACTGGAGAAATCTTAATGCCACCACTGCAAGAGCCACCTAAACCGCCACCTACAGATAGAGCCACCTAAATATACCACCATTGTAAGTGCCACCTACATTCGCCACCTACACCCATTATTGACACCAACCGTGAAAATTCTGACACGACACCTTGATTAAAATATTCACTATAGTAAACCCCCGTGCGTACAGTAACATTATATGTATGTAAACACTACGGAAATTGAGCGTTATAGCGAGTTTGTATTGAGCTGTACTGAGAGATTATATAGCTAGTAGATATTACAGTGAGGCCAGAAGATCATGTCAGTCAAAGTGGAGTGTAAGTCACAGTACCATCCGGGAGAGAAGGATGTAAAGACCGACGTACTGTTTGAACTTCCAACTGGAGTTCACGAGGTTGTTAATTTAGATGCTGTTGGAGATTGTGGGTATTTATCACTTCTAGAAGATCCTATTTTTGAGACAGCATACAAACATATACGCGTACTATTAGGCATAAATCATCTTAAAAAAAAACTAACATACATACAT